AAAAAAAAAAAAAAAAAAGAATCAAAATCTTGTAATTTACTTTCTTCTTCACTTTACTATTGTCACTGAATTCCTATAGTTACTCCCATTAAGTCAGGGCAGGTAATAATCCCCACTGAAGAGAGACGGAATTTCACTGTGGGACTAGTACAGAGGAGCAAAAAAGTTCAAGAAGAGAAGTTAGAGGCTCTCACCATAGACTTGGGGCCCAGTGCACCAAGAAAAACACTGTTCAAGTCTAAAGAAATTCAGATGGAGAGGCTATAGATTCATTCAATGGCATTGGGGAAATGGATCCTCATCTTGATTTTTGCTTTTCGGACTCCAGAAAATACCCAGATGATTTAATTCTACTCAGACCACTAAGTCTTTATCTTCAGAAAATATTACCATTCATCTATTACCTACCACTATACCCTCCAATTTTTTTTTTTTTTTAAAGATGGGGTTTCACCATGAGGGCCAGGCTGGTCTTGAACTCTTTGACCTCACGTGATCCACCCACCTCGGCCTCCCAAAGTGCTAGGATTATAGGCGTGAGCCACTGTGCCCAGCATACCCTCCAATTTTTATGTATGTGTCTTAACATGAAAGGATAATTCATCTGATAATCATTAGAAGGACTCAAACTGAAGATTTCGTAAGCTATTTTATCCACCTTCTTTAGGAAATAAACTATAGGTGTCTGCCATGCCAACAGTCCTCTTCTGGGGAAAGTGGCCCTATCAGGTACAATCTACATGTTTATTTGGGTTTGCCTGTGCATCAACTCTAACTAACTGAATTACTCAACTCAGAAACCTGTGTCATTTTTCATTCTTTCTTCTCTTACTACCTATAACCCTTCAGCAAGTTCTGACATTTTCCCTCTAATTATATCTAAAAACCTTCTATTTCTCTCCATCTCAACTATAAACAACGCCTCTAGGCCATCATTTTCTTTTTGTTGGGTACTACAATTGCCTTTTATTTTTTAATCTTTTCTTTCCTTGGGTACTACAATTGCCTTTTTTTAATCTCTTTTAATCTCCCTACTTCCAATCTTATCTGCTGCTTTGTGTTTAAAGTAGCCAAAATAATAAGGCTTACCAAAAACGTAGTTGAACTTTTCTTAAAGTTTAATTAAAATAATCATTTAAATGTGAGAAAAACTGGTTATCAATATTTTATTCTTTTTTTTTTTTTGGGACAGTGTTTCGCTCTTGTTACCCAGGCTGGAGTGCAATGGCGCGATCTTGGCTCACTGCAACCTCCGCCTCCTGGGTTCAGGCGATTCTCCTGCCTCAGCTTCCTGAGTAGCTGGGATTACAGGCACGCGCCACCATGCCCAGCTAATGTTTTGTATTTTTAGTAGAGACGGGGTTTCACCGTGTTGACCAGGATGGTCTCGATCTGTTGACCTCGTGATCCACCCGCCTCGGCCTCCCAAAGTGCTGGGATTACAGGCTTGAGCCACCGCGCCCGGCCTTATTTTATTCTTTAGATATAGAAACTTAATAAAGAATCAATGAAAATGAACAGTAACAGTGAATATCTTTCACCTTGTCAAAAGTCCTGAGGATGATGAAGAACTCATACCCAGTTTCAAGAATATCGGCTTATAATACATCTTCCCTACCCAGAGCTAGAGTTAACACAAAGTAATCTCAGAGAGGAACAGAAACCTATGGCTATCTGGGCACGTTTCCTCTGTGCAACCAAAAAGAAACTAAGGAGCACTGCTATCATTTATCAACTACTTACTATTCTTTCATTAATCAAATATTTACTGAGAGCCAACTATGTGCTAGCCATTGTAAATGCTGAAGATGGAACAACGAAACAAAAAGACAAGTCCCTTCTTTCGCAAGGTTGAGTCTACTCACAACGAAGAAAATTAAAGTGCAACTAGACATTTCATGCAGAGACAGGTGGAATACACATATTTTCTAATCAAACTGCTTTCACACAACAAATGCAACTTAAAATCCTCTATTTTCATGTACTATGACATTGTAAATGCTCATCCCCCTCCTTCCATTATAAATGCATGGTTATGGCCAGGCATGGAGGCTCATGCCTGTAATCCCAGCACTTTGGGAGGCCAAGGTGGGCAGATCACCTAAAGTCAGGAGTCTGAGACCAGCTTGGCAAACATGGTGAAACCTAGTCTCTACTAAAAATACAAAAAGTAGCTGGGAGTGGTGGTGCATGCCTGTAGTCTCCACTACTCAGGAGGCTGAGGCAGAAGAATCGCTTGAACCCAGGAGGCAGAGGTTGCAATGAGCTGAGATGGCACAACTGCACTCCAGACTGGGCAACAGAGCAAGACTCCGTCTCAAAAACAAAACAAAAATGCATGGGGCTGGGTGCAGTGGCTCACGCCTGTATTCCCAGCACTTTTGGAGGCTGAGGCAGGCGGATCACAAGGTCAGGAGTTCAAGACCAGCCTGGCCAATACGGTGAAACCTCATCTCTACTAAAAACACAAAAATTCCCGGGGCGTGGTGATGCGCACCTGTAGTCCCAGCTACTCAGGAGGCCGAGGCAGGAAAATCACTTGAACCTGGGAGGCAGAGGTTATAGTGAGCTGAGATCATGCCACTGCATTCCGGCCTGGGTGACAGAACGAGACACTGTCTCAAAAGGAAAAAAAAATGTATGGTTATGAGATGGCTGATCCACATGTAGCACGATACCACATTCCAGACAGAAAGTGGGAAAAGAATGCATGCCCACTGAACCTGCCCCACCCCATCCCCACACTTTTAAAGAACTGCCTGAGCAATTGGGCGTAGTGGCTCATGCCTGTAACCCCACCGCTTTGGGAGGCCGAGGTGGGTGGATCACCTGAGGTCAGGAGTTCGAGACCAGCCTGGCCAACATGGTGAAACCCTGTCTCTACTAAAAATACAAAATCAGCCAGATATGGTGGCAGGTGCCTGTAATCCAGCTACTCAGTCTGAGGCTGAGGCAGGAGAATTGCTTGAACCCCAGGAGGTGGAGGTTGCAGTGAGCCGAGATTGCACCACTGCACACCAACCTGGGCAACAGTGAGACTCCATCTCAAACAAACAAACAAACAAACACACAGAACTGTCTGAGAAGCCCAATCTAAGAACTTTTACTTACATCAACAGAGGAAGCTAGAACATGTAGAGTTTGTTTGTTGTTGTTGTTTTGTTTTTTATTTCAGCAGGGCAAACAAACAATATTAGGACTTTTATAGCAATAAAGAAGGGAACTGATATTGGGTTGGCCCATACGTGGCAAAACAACAGCATCTACAATATATTCTCAAATATCTTCCAATTATGCAGGAAGTTAAAGTATCACTTAAATGAAAACATTAGATACATGTCGATATGTGCATATACAAGTGTATATATTTGTATGTATATGCATATATATCTATATATGTATATAGGAGTATATAGGAAAAACCAAACTGTGCATACAAGATGAACTGAACCATTTACTACATTAATAAGAGAAAATTAGGAAGATATTTCCAAAGAGAAACAGAAGATTCCAAGTTACCAGATAAATCCTTTTGGGCATTTGCTAAGGAAAAAAAAATCACGTCTTGGAAAAATAGAGACAACTTCAAGGCACCTTAAACATGGCTTTTAGATATCAGAATCATTATTTCCTCTCCTCTGGGGAACCTCTCTTGGAGGGCAGAAACGGGAAAGGAGACAATACACCTCCCCTGGGGCCCAAATGACAACTCCAGGAGTTTACTCTGCGTTCCCCTCCCCCTGCCACGGAAGGGCTTTCAGAAAACTGTGGCTACCAATTCAAACTCAGTGTCATAGAAAACTGTCCTTTACTATCACGGGACTGAGCTATTTTCTGCTCTCACATATGACTTCGTGTGACATTTGGTCAGACACAGAGTCTCAACTCCAGGCACACACAGTGCTTCACTCACATACCCGCCACTGGACACAAAGTCAAAAGCACTCACCCTCCATGCTCCCACACAGGGACACAGAGTCACAAGCACACAAGTACAAAGCTCCCTCTATCTGCACACAGACGAACATATTGGTCACAGAGTCACAATCACACACCCACCGCGGGCAGGCAGTCACAGCAAACCACACCCTCACACACAGTTACACAGTCACACATTAACAGTCCTAACACAGGGACTCACGGGATACCCGCAGAATCCTCCCCACATCCGCACACACGGTGTCATACATAGTCACAATAACACATACACAGTGCCAGAATATACTGTCACAAAAATTACAATTTCACAACCGCCCTTCCTCGGCCCGTTCCGCCTGAAGAGACTTAATACTCAGTCTCAACCCCCGCACCCGGTTCTAGACGCTTCACCTCCAGCCTCCTACGGACTCAGTAGTCTCCAAATCGACCTACTCAGAGCCGAGCACCTAAGTCTCGTGCACTTCTCCACAGAGCCGCGGGCGTCACGGGGGCAGGGGCCGAGGGCCCGGTACCTTCTGGGAAATGTAGTTCAGCGCCACGCCCGCGATGAGCAAGATGGCACCCCGTTTGAGCCCAGCCAAAAGCATTGTTACCCTCATTCCCGAACCGTGCCTGAGAGTCTCCTGGGGTTCCTGGCTTAGTATCGCACCATGGCTCCTACATGAAGTCCACACAGCATCTTTAAGCTGATCTTAACACTTGCGACACAACACTACCCTCTCCCAGGGGTAGCGTAAACTAAGACTCGGCCTTTCCCTCCTGCCAGGAAGACAATCCCCACAAGCTCTGGCAAAGGAAAGAAACTTCGCGCGAAAAGCTGACTCAAACCGCTGAACCTTCTGGGAATTGTAGTCCACCCTCAAAAGAGTGGCACGGTGGACGGACCAACGTCCGGTTCTGAGCCCGGGCCTGACCGAGCCCAGGGGACCTCTGGGAGCGCTGCCCACCGAAGGAGTGCGCAGGCGCCGACTCTCCGGCTCGCCATGGTGGTCTTTGTCTGCTGGTGAGTTGGGTTTCGGCTCTGTGGGACTCGGCTTTCTGGACGCTGTAACGGGCCAGGGACGGTGAATGGGAGGATTTGCTGTGCCTGCGACGGGGCTGGGGAATGTGAAGGGGAGGAATCGTCTCCTGTGATGTGCGGTGATCAGAGCTTGTGTGACTGGGGCAGGCGTACAGTAGGAAGCGGGTGGGGTGACCGAGGGTGTGAGGCGGAGGTGAGGGTTACAGAGTTAGTAAGAAACTGGTTCCAAGTTTGTGAGGATGGACGGATGGCTTTGTAGGTAGTAACCTCTAAGCCTCACTTTTCTTATTTCTAAAATTATAAGGATGCGTTTTCTGGAAAATAGGAAAGGGAAAAGGCTAAGGAATTGAGCGGGTAAGTAATTTTAAACGTGATTTTTATGTAAAAGCAGACCTGTTGTGGAGTAGAAAACAAAATCAGCGTTACCTTTCCATTATTTTTTTAAAGAGGAAAGATTTCCGAAAAACTTGTTACTGGATTCCTGTACACCCAGTAGGCATTGACTTTTCTTAATACTTTGGAGAAACTTTGGTGCGGTTGCTTAGAGAAACCCTAAACTAATGAATATCTTTAAGAGGTAGTTTCCACTAGTGCAGACAGCACAGAATTGGAAAGCTAATTGTCCTGCCTTTAGCGCAGAGGTCAAGAAACTCCCTAATTCGTCTAGGAGGGCAGCAATCTGACTTCTAATTTAATCAGGTTTTCCCAGCCTTTTGTAAATATAGGGGAAATTTTTTTCTTCTATGTACAAAGATACAAGTATTCTGTCTTCAAGTATCTTGTCACGCTCATGCTTAACATATGTTTCAATAAAATAAAAAAGTAAAGTAACAGGTTTTGAAATATACAAAAAAAGTAAAAGATACAAAGAAGACAGGACTTAGTTTCTGCTTTTTTCTTAACTATTGGTGTTTCTAAGTTTCTGGCCTTGATCGTCTTTTCACCTGTAAGTACTCCTATCGGCCACAACATTTCACTGCCATGGCTTCATCTGACACAGATGACTAATAAATGTCTCTTTCTATCGCAGGCTTGTCCTGAGCACCTGATCCTTATTATTCCAACTGCCCAGTGTGCAGTCCACCTGGAAGTTGCATAGGAACTTCAAGCCCTTTATGTTTAAAATGTCAAACTGAGGGCCGGGCGCGGTGGCTCACGCCTGTAATCCCAGCACTTTGGGAGGATGAGGCGAGTGGATCACGAGGTCAAGAGATCAAGACCATCTTGGTCAACACGGTGAAACCCCGTCTCTACTAAAAATACAAAAAATCAGCTGGGCATGCTGGCGTGTGCCTATAATCCCAGCTACTCAGGAGGCTGAGGCAGGAGAATTGCCTGAACCCAGGAGGCAGAGGTTGCGGTGACCCAAGATCGCGCCATTGCACTCCAGCCTGGGTAACAAGAGCAAAACTCCGTCTCAAAAAATAAAATAAAATAAAATGTCGTACTGATAGCTCCTTCTTCCTGCACTCTGCCTCCATCTATTTCCCCTCTTTACCTGTTTCAGCAATTCATAGCACTGTCTAGCCAGGTTCTAAGGCTCTTACATCTTAGAGAAAGCTTCTGAGTAAGTTTGAGCCTTTCATTTATCATATCCCATTACAAATTGTTAACCAAGCATTATCAGTACACATAATCACAAATGTATACGTTTGCTGAATCAGTGAAAGAGCATACAGTCAGCGCTATGTATATGTAGGTTCTGCCTCCATGGATTGAACAAACCATGAATCAGAAATGTTGTTAAGCTTGCAATGGTTATGTCTGTACTGAACATGTACAGACTTTTTTTTCTTGTCATGATTCCCTAAACAATACAGTATAACAACTATTTGCAAGGCATTTACATTGTATTAGGTATTATAAATAATCTGGAGATGACTTAAAGTATATGGGAGGATGTGCATAGGTTATATATATACTTCCGTATACTTTATTTTTATTTTTTTGAGATGGAGTCTCACTGTCACCCAGGCTGAAGTACAGTAGAGCAATCTCTGCCCACTGCAGCCTCCACCTCCCAGGTTCAAGCGAGTCTTCTGCCTCAGCCTCCCAAGTAGCAGGGGTACAGATGCGTGCCATCATGCCCAGCTAATTTTTGTATTTTTAGTAGAGATGGGGTTTCACCTTATTGTCCAGGCTGGTTTCGAACTCCTGATCTCAGGTGGTCTGCCCACCTCAGCCTCCAAAAGTTCAGGTATTACAGGTGTGAGCCACTGCACCTGGCCTCATATACTTTAAATGAGCATCTGCAAAATTTTGGTATCTACAGTGATCCTGGAACCAATCCCCTGTGATATCAAGAGAAGACTATTATTATAGGACACTTACTATATTTAACTTCTCCTGGTTAACCTAAGTAAAATATTAGTCCTCTAAATTTTTTTAGAGCTCTGACTTATAAATAACATCAGAATAACTTCCTGTATTTTTTCCATATTACTCAAGATTGATTACTTCATATTTATGAGAAAAGTCTTGTTATGGGGAAAATGATATTCAAAAATGTGGCTTGAATCAGGAGCAAGGTCACAAGTGACACCTGCTCAAATGAACCTGTACAGGTTGTGAGTGTGGATAACTCTGGCATCTTAGTCTCTCATAGTTTCTCTGTAAATCCCATAATAAGGTCCCATCTGTCTCTCATTTTTGAAATGTGTAGAGCTTTTTTTTTTTCCTTCTCTGAGGCACAGTCTCCCTCTGTCTCTTAGGCTGGAGTGCAGTGGCTTGACCTTGGCTCACTGAAACCTCTGCCTCCTGGTTTCAAATGATTCTCCTGCCTCAGCCTCCCGAGTAGCTGGGATTACAGGTGCCCATCACCACGCCTGGCTAATTTTTGTATTTTTAGTAGAGACTAAACGAGGTTTTACCACATTGTCCAGGCTGGTCTCAGACTCCTGACCTCAGGTGATCCGCTTGCCTCAGCCTCCCAAAGTGCTGAGATTACAGGTGTGAGCTACCATGCCCAGCCATTGAAATGTGTAGAGCTTTTGAATAGCATAATGGGTCTGGCCTGAGATGCTATGTACAAATACTCTTTTTTCCATTTGCTCACATGTAGGTCAAAGCCAAAGAGTCATCATTACTTTGTTCTTTTTCACAGGCCTGCTTCCTTGTACATCCGCAGGAGCTGCAAAACCTCTAACAGCTCTAAGGGCTCTGCCGGAATTCTGGGATGCTGCTTTGTTCCCCAACCATAACATCCACGTCCAGTGTCATATTTCAGTTCGCAAGTTTAAAGTCAGCACTTAAAACAAGAACAGCAATGGATGATTGAGAAAGAAATGTAAAGAAGGTACTCTTTATGTGAGTAAGCGAGAACCTGGCAGGTATGAATGGGATTAAAGGCTTATTATAGTTATTCAATGAGAGTTTGCAGCCTCTGAGTTTTTTTGTTTGTCTTTTTGAGCCTTTGTCTTTTAGAGTGACTATTGCTGGGAATTCTTTAGATACCTAAATGACATTTCCAGACCTTCTTCCTGACCTTCTTTCTCCCTGAATCTATACATCCCTTTTATCAGATTCTAGAGGACTGATTGCTCTTCTAAACTCTATTCTGGATGCCAGTCACTCTACATCATTTACAGCATCAATTTTATGATTTTTTACGGCCTCAATTTCACTTTTCTTCCTTTCACTAATACTTTCCATTTTTCACTTTTCCCTGTATGCCTAGACGCATTTCCTTAAGCATTCAGTCCTTCATAGATCTGTTAGCTTTCAAAAACTGGCATGTAAGTTCTTTCTTTAAAACGTAATCATTCTATGTGCAACTATTATGTATCAATAAAAAAATATTTCAAAAACTAGCAAGTAGATGCTTTTCTTTACAATTTAACTTTCTAGCATTCTTCCTCCTTCCATTGTTATATTCCTCAGAATTGAATTTTGCTTTCTTACTCTTATTTTCTGTTGTCTTCCTACCCCCAGCCATCATAGTCCAACACTATGTTACCTCCTGCTTTTTAACAATATTGCAGGCTTGGGAATTAGTGCTGATTTCCTATTAGTTCATTTCCCTGTTAATTTTAAAAAGAAATAATACTATTATTATCAAAGTTTAATATGTATGCTTGATAGAAAATTAAAATAATTGGGTATGTCTCTTCATTCCTGGCCTTCAGTTCCCTGTTTCCCAGAAATAGCCACTGTTAGCAGTGTCTGCTGTATGCTTCTAAATGTTTGTGTTTTATTTTTCTTGTTGTTTTTTAGAGTCTCGCTGTGTTGCCCAGGCTGGAGTGCAGTGGTGCGATCTTGGCTCACTACAACTTCTGCCTCCCGGTTCAAGCAATACTCCTGCCTCAGCCTTGAGTAACTGGGACTATAGGCATGTGCCACCACGCCTGGCTAATTTTTGTATTTTTAGTAGAGATGAGGTTTCACCATGTTGGTCAGGCTGGTCTCAATTCCTGACCTCAGATGATCCACCCAACTCAGCCTCCCAAAGTGTTGGTATTACAGGTGTGAGGCACTGTGCCCAGCTGATTGTCTTTATGAGTACACAAAAAGGCTCTCAGGTACAGCAGTGACATGATTTGACTGTGAGAAGATTGCTGTGGCTGCTGTGTTGAGAATTGTAAAGAGTTAGTAAGACTGGTATGGAGGCTGTTAAATAATCCAGGAAGACATGTGGCTTAGACCTTGGTGGTCACAGTGAGGATTGTCCAAAACAGCCAGTAAGTTACAAGGTTGTAAAGAGTGTAATCTTTTTTTTTTTTTTTTTTTTTTGAGACGGAGTTTCGCTCTTGTTACCCAGGCTGGAGTGCAATGGCGCGATCTCGGCTCACCGCAACCTCCGCCTCCTGGGTTCAGGCAATTCTCCTGCCTCAGCCTCCTGAGTAGCTGGGATTACAGGCACGCGCCACCATGCCCAGCTAATTTTTTGTATTTTTAGTAGAGACGGGGTTTCACCATGTTGACCAGGATGGTCTCGATCTCTTGACCTCATGATCCACCCGCCTCGGCCTCCCAAAGTGCTGGGATTACAGGCTTGAGCCACCACGCCCGGCCATAAAGAGTGTAATCTGACAGAAAGAAAAGTGTTGTTTGAGCAATGAGAAGAATGAGATTGCTATTTAAAGAGATGAGAAGAATTTGAGAGGAATTGGTTTGGGCCTGAAGCAAAAGCTTGAATAGGGCAGGGTACGTTAGATCACTATTAGATATCCAAGTGGAAATGTTGAGTAGTCAGTTGGATATTTGAATCAGTTACTGAGGAGAGAGGTCCAAGCTGGTGATTAATATTTGTTAGGCATCTCAGATTCATGATATGTAAAGCAATGACACAGACTAAGAAGTGCGCTTATCACGGTAAAGCTAAGTGCCTATAATAAACCTCAAAATGTACCAGATTAAGGAATGCAGGAATGGGTTTCTTGGTCATACGTGGTGAGTAGTCCAGATTAGCATGCTAACTTTGGTGTTTGTGGTCCCTGAAGGATGTGGATTCCTCGCAGGTTCTCTCTTTATTATCTGGTTGTGGTTGGAGCTGGATCAACAATGCATCCTGGTGTCAGCCAGATAGAAGATGGAGGAATTGCTCCTCTAGGACAGGAGTTCAGGAAACTTTTTCTATAAAGAGCCAGGTAGTAAATATTTAAGTCTTTATAGGTTATAGGATCTCCATTGCAGCTACTCAACTCAAGCGTTACACTGTGAAAGTAGTCATGGAGAAGAAAATAAATAAACGTGACCATGTAAAACTCTTAGTTTGCCAACCCTTGTTTTAACAAGTCAGTATTTACACAGAATATAATTAAGAGTTTGCTTGCCATTAGAGCATTTTGATTACATTTTGAAAGTACTTTTTGTTTTATTTTTTGAGACAATCTTGCTCTCTCACTCACGCTGGAGTGCAGTGGCACAATCTTGGCTCACTGCAACCTGTGCCTCCCAAGTTCAAGCAGTTCTCCTGTCTCAGCCTCCCAGGTAGCTGCAATTTACAGGTGCCTGCCACCATGCTTGGCTAATTTTTCTATTTTTAGTAGAGACGGCATTTCACCATGTTGGCGCGGCTGGTCTTGAACTCCTGACCTTAAATGATCTGCCTGCCTCATCTTCCCCGAGTGCTGGGATTACAGACATGTGCCACTCCACCTGAAAATATTTTTTAAACATGAGAATATTTAATTTTCTTAGATTCTGAGAATATTTTTTAAATATTAAATAAAATATTAAAAAATATTTTTTGACTATTACAAAAGTTTATTTAGCAAAAAGTCTAATATGAAAAATGTACATGACCTAATTTTTACATCATAGAACAGGCCCTATGGAGAGAGGACATGGGTTTCTCCGCTAAACAGCCATTATTTATACTCGTTCCAAGGCTTCTAACATGATGATACTATTTCCTCGTATTACCACCATTCCAATATTGTTCTGTTGTCCGCTAGTCGCCATCTCCACACATTCAGCTATCACAAGATTCATAAAGGGATCAAATCTCCGCAGTATTCCTTGGACATGTCTGCCACCATTTAATTTCAGTGATAACTTCTTTTCCATAAATTTTTTCAACTCGGGAGGGTGAGCTTTGCTCATGATGGCTACTCCGCGGGCACACAGAGGCCAAAAAATATTTTTTAAACATGAGATAAATGTTGAAATAACCATTTTACTTGGTATTCTGATGACATTTTCTAGTTCAGTTCAGCATTGTCATTTACAGTGTTAAAAATTCAATTCTGATAAGTATGTATGAAGGAGATAGGGTTTTAATTACAAAGAAGTTGTAATTTTTAACTTTTTGGGGTTGTTTGGAATATAGTAGCATAAGTGATGATCTATTATGCATAATACCAATTTTCATAAATTTTAAAAAAGTAATTGGAAAACATAAATAATAATACCATTATCTAATCAAAGTTTAGTAAAATTCGCATACTAAGCCATCTACACCTTGGGCTTAAGGGAGCAAGAGCTCTATTTTTTTTCTTCTTCTTCTTCTTTATTTATTTTATTTCATTTATTTATTTAAAAAAATTTTTTTTGAGACAGAGTCTCACTCTGTCCCCAGGCTGGAATGCAGTGGTGCAATCTCAGCTCACTGCAACCTTCGCCTCCCAGGTTCCAGTGATTCCCCTGCGTCAGCCTCCTGAGTAGCTGGGATTACAGGTGCCTGCCACCATGCCCAGCTAATTTTTTATATTTTTAGTAGAGACAGGGTTTTACCATGTTGGCCAAGTTGGGATCTTTTTAAATGGAATGTTCTTTGTACTCTGTGGGCCTGTTAAGTATGTAGACTCATGATTTATAATTCTGGGAAGTGTTCTTTATTAGTTCTTTGAAAATGTCCTACATTCATTTTTCTTCATACTTTCTTTGGAACTGCTTTAGTAAATGTTGAGCCTTCTGGATTCTTCCAGTAACCCACTAATGTTCCAATCATTACACTCTTTCTTTCTCCCTTTCTTCTTCCAGTCTTCCTTTTTTTATTCTAGGAGATTTTCTAGACTGACTTTCTCGCAACATATTGAATTTGTAAGATCAATATCATATTGTTTATTTCTAAAACATTTCTTTATAGAACACTTAATATTTCATCACAGTGATAATAGTAATCTCCTAGCTTTCCAAGATATTAATTGTAATGTTATATGTGTGAGTTTTTCTGCTCTTTGCCTTGTATTTTGTTTGATCTAGCTTTTATGTTAGGGCTTTCATCAAATGTTTTCTGATCTTTAGCTCTACATTAATTTGTACATAAGTGGGGCTTGTGAAATGCTCGTTTTCACTGTGCAGCAATCACTAATACAGATGTGTTGCTTTCGATGATTCCAAATGTTAGTATCTGTAGGTGTTCTCATGGTCTTCTCATTTTTTTCAGTAAACAATTCTTCCATCATCTGATACCTAGCAACCACCAGCATTCTCGGAATCTAACAGAAGAGACTCTATTACATGTATAAATTTTATTCATTCTTCTCTTCTTACTATGATGCTCTCATCTACTTTGGTCATCACTAAATTTGGAGCTGCTTGGTTTTGTGTGGATGATAAACTTCATATTTCTGTCCAGCTAGGAGAGTTCAGTCATTACCTGGTCCTTTCACAGTCATTTTATAAGCCCTGCCTTCCACTCTTGCCCAATCTCTCTGTTGATAGAGCCTATCTGTTAATATCTGTGTTACAAACGTGTGTAGGGGCACCTACATCTGCTGGCTTTTCTTTAAACCACTCAGTTCTGCTGTTAATTTACAGTTCTCTATTTGCTTTCTTTCCAAAATTTCCTAAGACTTTTTTTTAAGAGACAAGGTCATACTCTGTCACCTAGTCTGGATTGCTGTGGCATGATCATAGCATCCTGCAGCCTCAGACTCCTGGGCTCAAGCGATCCTCCTGCTTGAACCTCCCAGGTAACTAAGACTACAGGTGTCTGCTACCATACCTGCCTAATTTTTTAAATTTTTGTAGAGATAAGGCCTCACTGTGCTGCTTAGGCTGATCTCAAACTCATGGCCTCAAATAATCCTCCTGCCTTGGCCTCCCAAAGTGCTGGGATTACAGGAATGAGCCACTATCTCTTGCCCTCGTAATACTTTTTGTCCACTGATGTCTTCTTAACCTTTTTGTTCTTGTAAGTATGTGCCCCTCTTCACTGTTTTACTGTCATTTTAATGATGTTTTAGGAAGACATAGAAACAAGCACCTTATTTAAACTTTCCTGTTCATTTTATTTATGCCCTGTCTTCCTAGGCTCTCTCAGTCTTTTAAGTATTTGTCCTTTCCTCCTGTTTCTCACCTATTTACGTTTTAAAGACCAAGACCAAGTCTTGCTCTGTCACTCAGGCCGTGGCACAATCATAGCTTATTGCAGTCTTTAAATCCTGGGCTCAAGGAATCTGCCCACCTTAACCTCCTGAGGACTACAGGAGGACTACAGGCTAGTTTTTAAATTTTTTATGGAGACAGGAGTCTCACTCTTTTACCCAGGCTATTCTCAAACTCCTGGCCTCAAGCAATTTTCCTGCCTCATGCTTCAGAAGTGCTGGGATTATAGGTGTGAACCACCACACCTGGACTTGTTTTCTCCCATTTTACTGATTTAGGAAGTGGGCTGGGTTACATTTAAAAGCAGTTAAAATTATACATACCTAGGAACGTCATTTGTATTTGAACTTTATACTGAGAGACTAGGCTTGGATAAAGAATCTATTTTACAATAACACATTTCTGAAATTATATTAATAATGGGAAACTTCACAGGTGTTAGTGATGTTATGTTGATGACAGTGATAACCTAATTTATTGAATGCTTTTTACATGCCAAGCACTATATATTATGTATGTATTATTTTTTTCAATGATGATTTTTTTTGTAATTCCTTTTAGAAGAAGCCTGGGAAGTTTATAAAGAGATAAAGACGCAACATGAAAGACTTGTAAGTTAAGTCTCATCTTTTTCTGAAAATACAGACTGAGGAAAAATTTAGGAAACGTATTTCCTCTGAACACAGTCTTTGATTATTCAAGACTACCCTTCTGTGTATGGGACTCAGTTTAAAAGAGTTTGAAACATAACTTATACACAATTTATACTTAAATATGAGAGAAGTTCTATAAGAACCATCAAGAATATAAAGAGATGTTCTATTTTATCCCTTTTTGTAATCATCTCATCTCAGGGTAATCAATGTGAGAAAAATCTTTATTCATAAATTTAACTTTGTTAGATACCTGAGAATTAATATCAAAAACACACCATATGAATTTAGTGAATGTGGGAAAACTTTCATCCTTATTACATCTTATTTGGTACTAGGGAAATCTGATTAAATTCACATTCATGAAAGGAATGTTGGAAAGTCTTCAGCATGAATCAGATCTCCTTCAGCATGATCAAATTCATAGTGGAGAGAAACCTTATGAATGTAATGAATGTAGAAAAACCTTTAGCCTGAAGCAAAACTTCCTAGAACATAAGAAAATGCATACTGGAGAGAAATCTCATGAATGCACTGAATGTGGTAAAGTGTTCTCTCGAGTCTCATCCCTTACCCTGCACCTCAGAAGTCACACAGGGAAGAAAGCATATAAATGTAATAAATGTGGAAAAGCCTTCAGCCAGAAGGAAAACTTCCTTTCTCATCAGAAACATCATACTGGAGAGAAACCTTATGAATGTGGAAAAGTTTCTATTCAGATGCCAACCCTCATCAGACACCAGAAAAATCATACAGGAACCAAACCCTATGCATGTAAGGAATGTGGCAAAGCGTTTAACAGCAGAGCGTATCTCACTGAGCATGAGAAAATTCATACTGGAGAAAAACCATTTGAATGTAATCAGTGTGGAAGAGCCTTCAGCCAGAAGCAATACCTCATTAAACATCAGAACATCCACACTGGAAAGAAGCCCTTTAAGTGTAGTGAGTGTGGAAAAGCTTTTAGCCAGAAGGAAAACCTTATTATACATCAGAGAATCCATACCGGAGAGAAACCTTATGAATGTAAAGGGTGTGGGAAAGCTTTCATTCAGAAGTCAAGCCTCATTAGACACCAGAGAAGCCACACAGGAGAGAAACCTTATACATGTAAGGAATGTGGGAAAGCCTTCAGTGGCAAATCAAATCTCACTGAGCATGAGAAAATTCATATTGGAGAGAAACCCTACAAATGTAATGAATGTGGAACAATCTTCAGGCAGAAGCAATACCTCATTAAACATCACAATATTCATACAGGAGAGAAACCCTATGAATGTAATAAATGTGGAAAAGCCTTCTCTCGAATCACATCACTTATTGTACATGTAAGAATTCATACGGGTGATAAGCCTTATGAGTGTAAGGTCTGTGGGAAAGCCTTCTGTCAAAGCTCATCTCTTACTGTGCATATGAGAAGCCATACAGGTGAGAAACCCTACGGTTGTAATGAATGTGGGAAAGCCTTTTCTCAGTTCTCAACTCTTGCTCTGCATATGAGAATCCATACTGGCGAAAAACCTTATCAGTGTAGTGAATGTGGGAAAGCTTTCAGCCAAAAGTCACATCACATTAGACACCAGAGAATTCATACCCATTAAAGTTCTCTATGAATGCCTTGGATTTAGCAAAACGTTCAGCAGATTTTACACTGAATAGTGTATTGGAAAATTCATTTTACATTAAAGTGACATGAATGTGGGAAGTCCAGCAGCAATTCAAAACTTAAATACTGTGATGTCTATTAAGTATTATAAAGAAAACCTGTACCCCCAAAACTCCCACAACAAGCATTATTGATGCTCTACTTCTAGGAGTATTCTCATTGAAGTTAGATTTAGTCATGTACACTACTTACTGTGTTCCTGGAAGGCCTACCAGATGCATTAAGAAATAGATATGAGACCGGGCATGGTGGCTCACGCCTGTAA